GGGACCAGAGAGGCTGGTTGGCTACCAGGAGGCGCCTGAGGCATGGTGCAGTGGGGAGGACTCAAGGCAGTTTGTTCCTGACGCCAGACAGAAGGGCAGAGAAACGGAAGCAGCAGTTGCGGAGGCAGACTCAGAGACATAATTAAGCCCAGGTGGTTGTGGCTTGGCCCCTCCCAAGAGAATATATAAGTAAAGAAGTGGGAAGGAGTCATTTGCAAGACACAACCGTTTGAAACTGTATTGGAATATTGTGTCTGTTGTGTATCTCTGCCTGTTGGATTTTCAACTAGTCTTGCACGTGAATCGTGTCTGGGCCTTCAGCCAAAGGAGTTGATAAAGCCGTGATTAAAGAGTGGCAAACAGCCAAGCCTGGGTTTGGGTGATTTGCAGGTGGGAGGAGGGGTCAGAACAGTTTAGCATACTTTGAACAATAAAAAACATCCCAACGTGGCCTATAATCAGTATTAAAGACAAATGAAATAAATCTCTAAATACATTAAATTTGAATTTTCAGAACAGTTAAGGGTTTCCTAGAACAAAATATAATTTGTATTCATGGTTTTCCCCCAATCTTTTCTCTAGCCCATTTTTAGCAGACTCATATTGCCTTTCATGTATCATATTTATTTCTTATGGAACTATTTGTAATTATTGTTCTGATAAAAGAAAATAGTACAAAATAGTACTGTACTGAATTTTAATGATAATTATGTCACAAATTATTTTCTAATCTAGAAAAGACTCAAATTATGTAATTTTGAGATCAATGTTCTATGCAAACAGGAATGATATAAGAGCTTATGTAAATTACACAGATATTTAAATGATATAAAGGTAAAGGTAAAACATGTGTTAAGTCTAGAGTTAGTAATATTTTGTTCCTAGAAAAAGAAAAATCTCCAAAATTACCTACCAAGTAAAATTGTTGTTTCACACAGATTTTCTTTTAAAACATTATTTAATGCAATTGAGCTAGTATTGGATGCTGATAAGCCACTTGTTTCATTATTATCTTCTTCCATAGAAATATTCCCATTTTCAGTTGGTATGTTACTCATTGATTCAGGCACTGCAACTTTTTTAGATCTTTCCTTTAAAATTAGAGAAAAACTCATTAATTACTATGGAAGGGATAGAACTAGAGCAGTGTTTCTCAACCTTGGCAACTTGAAGATGTCTGGACTTCAACTCCCAGAATTTTGCTGGCTGGGGAATTCTGGGAGTTGAAGTCCAGACATCTTCAAGTTGCCAAGGTTGAGAAACACTGAACTAGAGGAAAAGAAGTTTAATTGATAAATTCCAAGAATTAAAAAAAAGTAAATTTGATTGAATTAGACTTTGTAGTATTTTAAACCAGCTAAATAAAAGATCATCTCTGAAGAAAATTAAGTATTTTAGCAACAAGCATGGTTCAGAGAACCACATACAGTATTACAGAAGCACACAGTATTACATACCAGGGAAGAACAACACTTGAACTTTAGCTCACATGCAGCTCCCGAACTGTTTTTCTATACCCCCACCTATACCCAAACCTCAATGGCAAACTTGAAAATCTGAGATCTCTTACCCATTGATGGGCTAATAATACAAGTTATTTTCTACTTTGTATTTTCTACACGCAAGTTGTAGAAAACTAAAATAAATAAATATATTTTATTACATATGTTTGCAACATACCCAATATTCTAGTGCTTTCATGATATCTAATTTACACATTGGACATGTTCTCTGTTCCAGCAACCAGGGATCAATGCACAGCTTATGGAAGATATGTCTAAAGATAGAGACACTACCATCAAAATCAAGTATAAGGACATTCTAATTTATATTTATAGAATTAGTATTATAAATACAAAATCATATTCATAGAAAATCAGATAGTCAAAAAGTGATAATAAAACTTAATATAGGAAGTATATTTTTATCTTGGGTTTGACAAACTCTGAATAAAGAAATGCCTCACTTGCCAATAAATATATTTATTGTCAAGTATATATAGGCTCATAATTCATTTACAACATGCTACATACAATAACAGCAAAATTATAAACTAACACAAAAATGTAACATGCAATGAAAGCAATAAGTGGCATTCAGAGAGCTGTTGCAGAATACATATCAATTATCATTCCTTGTTTGTGCAAGGCAAAATCTACAGGTGTGTTGAATTTCTCTTTTAATTCAGAAGATTTCAAATACCATGATAGTTTCTGCCTATCCCAGAAGACCAGACAAAAATTATACGCCCCATCACTTAAGCTACATTGGTGAGTGGCTCCTCAGAAATGTCTTTTCTATCATGGTGCCCATCTTATAGAATTAACCTCCTCCCTGAAATACACAGTCAACCTAGCTGGTTTCTGCAAATCCATAAAGACTTGGCTATACTGAGGGGCTCATGGTGGCCTCTAAGCTTGTTACCAGTGATGTTATCTAGTATGGTAATGAAATGCCTGCAAGAAAACAACCAAACTCAGAGAACACCAAGGACACCAGAGTTCAATGCATTATTATCTTCTATTGGGACTTGGTTATACCTCCAGGCATTGGAGCCAAGGTACTACTCGAGCTCTTATTTATTTAGCACTAGGCGATAACCCAGCATTGCCCGAGTATTTATTTATAGGGGGAAAATGTCCGGACCAAACGTAATTTCTAATGTTGGATTTTCCCCCTTACCAGAGGGAGCCCTTGTGGAGTACTGTGAAGCAGTGAAGAAATACAATAGAAGCCATTTTAAGGCACAACAGGACACACACCTCAAGGGGTATCTTACCCCCAGAGTATTTTGTTTTCCAGTCATCTGTGTACCAAGTTGGTTGAAATTGCTTGAGGCATTCCAGAGTTATGCTGGGGTGTGTAGGCACACACACACACACTTCACAACTGGAGCTCTGATGAGGGTACTATTATTTTTATGAGACTATTGCTATTCATTTTAAGCCATTTTTAACCGATATGGACGGTGATTGTTTTTTGTTGGTTCACTGCCCAAAGTCTTTAGGTAAATTTGTGGCCAAATGTTAAATAAAAAAAAAAAAGTAGGTTACATGTGTGAAAATAAGCTGTGCTCTCCTGATAAATTTCTTAAACAAGAAAACCAAGATAGAGTGATATCTCTTGTAATATGAATTATTGTTGAAATATTTTGTGCCCTGAAGACACACTTAGTTAATGATCATTTGCTTAAGGATAATAGATTATCAAATGTGAGACCAATATGGAAAATGAACCACCTCTTTTAAATATATTCCAGCAGAAATAGGTTTGGTAATGTTAATTTTATAATGTTTGCCTTTAGATACATTTCTAGTTCATAAAATAATTATACAAATGATAACACTTGAGAGTTGTAAAAACTTAAAAAGGAGAACTTGTCTTAATATCAATCAAAACACGTTCTCTTAAATTTATTAGATTTACTGCACATCCGTTTTTCTCAGCATGACATACAACATACTCCTTTTTCCCCGTAACAGTCACATTGTGAGCTAGATTTAGTGACTCCAATCTTGTACTTGAATGAACTACACATTGGATAATAGCTTTAATGTGTGTACCCCCCTTTAAACATTCTTTTTTCATTGAATATTTTTAATCAAGACCCACTGAAACAAAGTTAAGAAGTTTAATAATCTTACTTGCAAGGCAGAAGTCGAATAGTATCTTTGGCTTTATAGTTTTCGATGCATATAGCACAATTTTCTGTATCAATAGCAGAACACTTTAAAAAAAATAAAGCCACATTTAAATATATTGTATATTGAATATATTGGCAAAACAAAGTAGTTTATAGAGTATATATATACAGTATATATACAGTTTGAAGTATATATTATACTCAGGGCCAACTCTGAGAAGATGCAATCAATGTATTCAGTCAGGCAATAGAACTAGAACTTCTGGAAAAATGAAAGACAAAGATAATTGTGTGCAATGTTGCCATTTTCTACTGTTTTTATTAAAACTCTGAATTCCATTAGTTGGAAATTTGTACAAAGGAAATAGGATTTGAAATTAAATTCTAAGATCCAGAAATAAATAATAGTTAATTGCTTCAATTCGGTAGTCAATTGGAGGAGCACCGAGTTGATGGTATTTAAAACCAAGATGGCTAACTCCTTGCCATACAAAGATCTACCAGACTTTGTAACTCTGGTACATAGTCTAATAGGACTAGGATATGGCACATATATTAGTATTGAAGTAAGTTTTTTTTTCTTTTTGAAAATACATTTAAATCAAATTATTTTGACATTACAGAAACGTGTTAACTCTAAGCCAAGAAGTTTTGATGCAACTCCCTTGACTGTCTTGCTTAGCAACAGAAATTTGGGGCTCATTAAGTTCCTAAGTCAAGAACTATCTGGAGGGAGCTGTCTCCAGGGATCAAATCTGCAATTCATCCAAGATGCAGCGTCAAATACACTGGCAAAGCAGGATCATTACATTCATATAACAGCCATATAGGTACTTGTCAACTTACAACTGCACAAAACTATGCTGGACCTACTAAAAGATACTTACAGCCCAAATTCAAAGTTATAACAGCTGCACCACTATTCCCACCCACAGTCATGTGATCAGATTTAGGAAGCTTGGCAACTGCCTTACTTTTATGGCTGTTTGCAGCCTCCCATAGTCATGTGACCATGATTTTTGACTTTTGCTGGTTCCTTGCATTTATTACTGGTTTCTGGCAAAAAAAATGCCTATTAGGTAAAATTGAATTGCTTAATGACTGCAGCAAAAAAGTTGTAAAAAGATTACAAAATCAGGTCTGGCCATATGGTGACCTGCTTAATGACTTAAAAACCATAATTCCTTAAAACCATAATAGAGAGTTGAAAGGGAGTCAAGTCAAACCCCTTGCGCAAGCAAGAAACCCTATAACATTTCAGACAAATGCTCAATTACAGTCAAAAGTTGAGGTCTATCAGTATTCACTGCATTGGTTGCCAATGGGAATCGGGGTACAATTCAAAAATTGTTTTTAATCTATAAATCCCTATATGTGTTGTTGATACAAATAGGATCACTTCTTCTGCCCAGAAATAATCAGTCTGCATTGTCTGGTATGTACACTGCACCTAAATTTTCTAGCATTTGCTTGGGATGAAAGGGACATGGCCTGCAAATAACAGTTTTTTATTAGTGGCACTTATACTTTGGAACAGCACCGTCCCAGATTAGGGAAACACCTATATTTTTGGAGTTCCAAAAACTAATTAAAACTTGATTAGTCTGGAAGGCATTTGGATACAAGGATGCTGGCACTGAGTAAAATGTATTTAGTATATTTTTTATCATACCGTGTCTTATTTTCTTTTTACAAAATATGGCTTGACCTTACTATGAGGGGAGGGTTTATTGTTTTGTGGTTGCTGGGCGGCTGCTCTCTTGCAAGCGGACTCCCAAAGAGCCAGGCACAGCCTCATGGGCAAAAGGCTGTGTTGTGCTGTCGCAGCAGCGCAACACAGCAGCCATGAAGCGACCACACTCAAGCGCAGCCACCTGGCAAACCCGCTTTCCAGCCAGGCACAGCGCCATTCACTGACCTAGGCGTATTGCCAAACCGCATGAGAGCCTGCTCGCCGCCGCCCAGCTCCCGCGGCTTGGCACCTTCGAAATGGCAGTAAATGGCGCTCTGCATGGCTGGAGGGGGGAGGGTTGCACGAGCTGCTGTTCCGCTCTCGCACCTGCCACTGCCGCATGGCTTTTTTTGCAGCTTTCAAACCGAGTTTTCCGGCAGTGGCCGCTCTGGGCATATGCTCTGCCGGCAGCTGGCCCACAACCATAGAGCATATGCCCAGAGCAGCCACTGCTGGAAGACTCGGTTTGGAAGCCGCAAAAAAAGCCACATGGCGGCGGCGCCCTGGCTCTGCGGAGAGCTGGGCCATGCATCGTGAGGCTGACAGGCGCATGAGCAAGAGCAGAACAGCCGCTCGTGCAACCCCCCCTCCAGCCATGCAGAGCACCATTTACTGCCATTTCGAAGGCGCCAAGCCGTGGGAGCCGGCGAACAGGCGCTCACGCGGCTTGGCGATACCCCTATGTCAGTGAACGGTGTGTTGCCGGTTGGAAAGGGTGTTTGCCGGTGGTTGTGCATGAGTGTGGTTGCTTCATGGCTGCTGTGCTGCGATAGCGCAACACAGCCATTCGCCCACGAGGATGTTCCCGGGTATTTGGGAGCACACTCGCAAGAGAGCAGCCACCCAACCCCCCTCTTCAGCTGGGCACAGAGCTGCTCACCAACCTAACGGTACCCCCGCCCCCCGCGACTTGGCACTTTTTGGATACCGCTAGGTTGGTGAGCAGCGCTCTGTCTGGCCGGAAGTGGGGGGGGGTTGTCCAGGGGGCTTGTTTGCAGGGGAGGGCTTATATTTTTGCCCACCAGAAAAATGTGGCATGACCTTATTATCAGGACATGTCGTAATTTCGGGGAAACACGGTACTAGGATTATTTCTTTTATTAGTTTACGGTTTAGCTACATTGAATGATTTTAACGATGCAAATCATGAGAAACCTACTTAGATTACAGTATATTGAAAAACAACATAAAAGCTCAAATTTCATACAAAGATATGAAGGAATTTGTCTGTGAAATATGTGAGATGCAACTGTCAGTTTAATTAGTTAGCTGATTAATCTCAAATTGAAAAAAAATATAGTAAATTAAGATGAAGAGATCTATTAATCCTACTAAACTTTCACTGATATTTGTATGGTGTAGAAAATGCATTCATCTTGAAAGGAATTGCAAATATTAAAAAAATTAGAAAAGTAAAGTTTATTATTCCCAATTTATGTAATTACCTTATCTTCATCTTTCAGAGTATACAGTGGCAGCTGGGCAATTGCACCAATAATTTCTTCTCTTTGACCCTTAAAAAAATAAGATATATAAATATGTGTGTTACAAAGACACATCTTTCTGAGCAACAAACACTTATCTAAGATCTGTCATAGCACAAGTAAGTCTGTACTATGAGAGATCCTTGGTGCTCCCTGAGCTTGGTAGTTTTCTTACAAATGTTGCAATACCAAAATAGGTAACAGCATCAGTATTTGAAGGGAGTTAGGTTTGTATTCTTGGTGGTTCTTTGAGTAGGCTGTTGTTTATTATTAGTATGCTTCTCTGTGTTTGTGATATGATACATCTGCCAAAAAACCCCAAACAAAAAACAAAAGGTATCCTGGATATTTACAGGCAGTCCAGAACACTGAAAGTAATTGTCTCATTTGACACAGGCATGTCCAACCCCCAGGCTGCATGCACCCTGGACAGCTAGTAACGCAGCCCCACAAGATTGTTAATAAAAATGTAAAAAATAAAGTAAGTTTGTTATATATCAACTATATATTTTAATGTGGTCCAAGACAACTCCTCTTCACTCAATATGGCCCCAAAAGCCAAAGGTTTGGACACTCATGCGCTAGTGTATTCTACCTAGATGAGGGCTGAGTAAGGTGACTTTGAAGGGCCCCGCAACTATGATTTTTTGAGTTATACTAGTATAGATAGACAAATAGACTAAAATAGACAAACAGACAAAGAAAGGGAAAGAACAAGTAGCAAAAGACAAATATGAGAAAAAAGATAATTAAAACAATCACATTAAGCTTTTCCATATCTGGATTTATGCCTAATTTATGTAAATTTATACTAGAGAAACTGAAGTTGCAAGGACTAAAATCATGAGCTTATTTGTGTTTGCTCAGCAGAGCCATGCAAAGCTTTTGAAATATAATGCATAAAAACATGGACAAAACATTATTTTAAAAATTTGTTAAAGCAGTTGTGCTGGAAGTAGCTCAGGAGCAGCTGTTTCAACAATTGGAATACTGTTAAGTGTTTGTACAACACCTGCTTGTTGAAAAACTTTTGACAGTTCTGTACAGCCTCACCTTGCAAGTATATTGTTAAATTAATTAAAGAGGCAGTTCAACTTGGTTACACCTCCACAGATAATAGAAAAATAAGGATAAGTATAACAATTAGTTTCATCAACTGAAAATTACTACCTAATTCTAGCTTAAAGTACTAATCTAAACTATAATTTTCAGGTACATCTAGTTCTGGAAACAAGTTATAACAGATAGAAACAGGCAGCACATTAAGAGAACTTTTCAGGTTAAACAGCATTCAAAGATTGGGCAGACAAATGCACTTACATTACACAAGGTGAAAAGATAATCAGCACCAGTAATTACCTGGCTTCTAAATTGTGATCCAGTATAGAGAAAACGTTGCACATAAAAAAATATAAGCCATGCTAAAGATATAATCATCATTGTGATAAATGCAATTGCTACAAACACAACTGACTGTCCATTGATATATTCTTGTACATGTTGTTTACCAACACTAATAGTCATTTTCACTGGAATTCCTCTTAGGACTGGCTCCAGGATCTCCATTCCTTTTGGATACCCAACCATAATTACAACTGTATCAGCAGTACCTATTGAAAAAAAGACAAACAGGAATCAGATGCATTCTTCTACAACTCTTATTTGTTGAAGGAAACTCAAGCCATCTTGCTGATAGTTATAAGTAAATTAAAATTGTTCTTGCCATAGTTTTACTTCCAAGATTTCTTGGTCCCAAGAACATGACTAGGAACTAAAGGAGAGTAGGCAAGGATATTTACCACTCAAGATTCATGTTAAAATTAATGGATTTTTACAGCATTTTTTCTGCCACATTTGTTCAAAATATTTAAGCTGTTGGCCCATGATCCATTCCTAGTATTAAAGGCAACAATGGGACAGATTTAAAGAAAAAATCCACTAAGGCCTGAAAGAAACAGGGCAGTGATATAATTTCTACTAAATGGACATTAGGAATTTTTACAGCCGAGTTTATTTGGGTTTCACACTACTGGAATAAAATAATTGCATTTAAATGGATCTGTAGTTTTAAAAACATAAAACTATAAACATAAAGGCATTTTAATGAGAAAATCCAGTTACATATTTTAATATTTAACAGCATTTTATCAAGAATGCATTCCAAATGTGGGAAATGTGACACATGGTTTAACCTTATTTTTCTCAATTTTTCCCATGATCTCTGCCTCCCACCAATTTCCACATGTATTACACCTTCTCTGGCTTCAGAACAACTGGAAGCTCATATATTTTGCTTTTCTGATGGAACAGATATGTTTATCATTAAATAAGCAACATGCAATTTTTCTATTATCATAGCTGCATGTCCTTAACACTGTATATATAGCAAGTACTGAAAAATCCACAGTAAAGCTACCTGGTGTTTCAACACTTTCACTGTAGCCCAGTGGTATTTTGTATTCCTCTGCCTCCAGCATACCCCTCCAGAATACATGTAGCCATTCTGAGATAGATTAGGAATCTCAACAATAAAACAAACAAAACTAAATGAAAAGAAAAGTTATAGAAAAAAACATAAAAACATAAAGCCTTTGCAAGTTTTAAAGGAATCTTACTTGCTTCGGCAATGAGACCACTGGAAGCAGTTAAGACACTAATTTTCTCAAACTAATTAGACAAACCAGAAATTAAAAAGTTTAATAAAATTCAAAAAAAATGGCCTAAGATAGAGAGGACCCTCCAGATGTTACTGAACTATATAACTCCCAGCAGTCCAGACAAATCTAGACAATGAGCATTCTGCAACATCTGCAAGGCCAAAATCCAATTTCATTCATAAACAGCTTTAGTTTCTTTCTCAGCAAGAATATCCAAAGTTGACTTCATATCATATAAATACAATATGCAATCCTAGAATTTACACAAAATATTGATCAGAACTTTTACAGTTCTTAGACAATCTGCAGCAATCAATATTAATCTACCTAAAATTGAAAGAAGTAATAATCATCAAAACAGAATATGGCATAACGAATTCTTCATATAAAATTCGTTAAATAGCATTAATCTAATTAGCTTAATTTTCTTTGATACTTGAAACAGTATAACACTATATTATACTATAACAGAGCAGCAGAATTTTGCTACCTCCCATCCAGTTTCTTGACTCAACCAATAGCTCCTTGTTGCATTACAGAAGAAGCCCTGTAATTACATCTAATTTGCAACCTACTTCTGAATCAGTGTCTTTAAAATGAATTTGCTTCATTTTAAAGAGAAGACTAGGTTCTTGATTTTGCACTCCAGAAATAAAATATTTCCTAGTTTGGGCTGGAACTAGTTTCATCCTAGTTTGGATGAAATATGATACCTTCCACGTGGGCTTTTGAGATATTTGGCAAATGATGGGAAAATAAGTTTGAATCCACTTTTTGAAAAAAACCTTCCCAACCTCTTACCATCGCTGGGCACCCACCCACCCAACTACCTTCGCAACAAAAATAAGGTAGTTTTCAAATTACTTTCCTTATTTCTCCCCTCACTACACTGACCGAGGTACGACACAGAGGTAAGAGTGGAGTTGCCGAACCGAGGCTCGTTATAGATGACCACGGCGGAGGCTTTCTTCCTTGCTGCGTTGGCGACTTTGTCCTTCAAGTGGCAACCTCCGTGGGCCACTAAGGCGATCCAGGTCTGAGGCGGCGAGAAGGGCGCTCCAGCCTCTTCGTCTCCCGAGGAACTTCGGGGCGCCATGGGGATCTGGTATTCCACCTTGGGGTCGCAGCCCTCCATGTGGCGCCCAGTCCCGCCAAAAGGGATGCCGACTAGGCCCTGCGCGCTCTCCTTGGGCGAGCTGTTCCCGTAACGCCCGCTTTCCGCGCTGTCCCGCACCGTGCGGTTGGTGGCCGGCTCGGTATACACCGTGCTCACCCAGGCTGTGTACCAGACCAGCGACCAGGAGACCCGCGGCCATCCCCCCGCCGCCAGGAAAAGCAGCGGCACCGTCACGCGGTGCGACAGCAGCCTCATCGCTTCCCGGATGCACAAGGCGAACGCTCCAGCCGGCGTCTGAGGGCGGAATAGTCACGGCCGCTCACCTGGGTCGCGAGTTTCGGCAGCTTAAGCAAGCGCTTCTGGATTCCTGCCTCTGCCCAAGAGGCTGCCCACCTGGCGGGCAGACCGGCGCCTGAGCCTAGGAGAAAGAGGCGGTGACTGAGCTCGTTCGGGTTGTCCTTGTTCTCCTCCTTCTCCGAGACAGGTTTCCGCGCGCTTCAGCCGCGCGCCTTTACGCGCGACCATTTCTAGCCAGGTTTCCAAAGAGGATCAGAAGGCTCGGGGTTCCTCAAGCGCAACTGAGCAAAGTCGGGTGACTCAGGATTCCGACCCCGAACGCTACTTACACGTCTTGCTTCCAACTCGAGACTCTAGTCGTGCTTTTCCATCTTGGCCTACGATTCAAGCCTCTTAAGTCTTTCCCCATAGAGCAGGGGTGGAGAACTACCCTTTACGGTCTGTGAACTTCAACTCCCAGAATTCCTGAACCAGCCATGCCATTCAATTCAATTCTGGGAGTTGAAGTGCACAGATCGTAAAAGGTCCGTAGCAGTTCCCACCCCTGCCGTAGAGCAAGCCGGCTAGAAAAAAAAGGCCTCTTTCTGGAGAAAAAGCGTGGGACGAAGCCTGCCTCTGTGTGTGTGTG